CCCCAGGGTCAACCATGGCATCCACCTTATGTACGAGTTTTGCTACGACGCCGGCTCCATGGAGCGCAGCCGCATGTTTGGCTTCAGCAAAGGTTCGCACGCAAATGCACGCGCCGGGGGCAGCAGTAGGCAGGCCTACGCACTCCTCGCCCGCGCAGGTGCCCCACACAATCGCGCTGCTTCATCGGTCACCCACCTGCCTACCGGCTGCCGGCTGTTCCCTGTCCCTGGCGCCCAACCTCCCTCAGCAAAGCCGCCTGCCTTTGAATCCCTGTGTTTCATGCAGCATCCTTTCCTATCGCCAGCGATCTGACCGCTTACCATGCCATCTACACCATCCTCCCAGATCTCTACCATGTAGATCACTTCATGGGGGCGATAGGAAACTTCTGCCCAGAGCTCATCAACTGCTCCTCCTTCAAGATCGGACCCGAGCGGCAGCTGCCGGGCGGCGGCGCGGGCTTCCAGGTGCAGGTCACCGCGGTCAACGGCGGCGGCGCGACGTTTGACTTTGTGCTGCTGCGGCAGGAATGGGGGCTGCGCAAGGGCAGCTGGCAGACCAAAAGCCTCACGCGGTCTGAAGCGCAGGCCTAGCCGAGGGGCGCTCTGTTTGTACGTGCCTCTGAATTTTATCTAGTACGAAGACATCCATCATGCCAGGGCGCTAGAAGTACTTTTCAGCACCTGGAGCCCATTATTTGACTGTTTGTACGTTTTCGCAGCCTGCCTCTGCCGTGGAGGATGGACTCGGCCGTTCATTTACGGGTAATTGTCAATCCCCCTTTTGTACAAATCAATCTGGAAGGTCCTCAGTCCCGTGTCGCACACACTCCTGCGGCATGGCCTGGAACTGATGTGCGTTTTAGAAACGGAGCCAATGCTGCAGCAGCTTCCCTTCTCAGATCTGCAGCTGGCGGTTGATTTCAGTTGCGCACGTTTCATCGGGCAAAGTCCACCGAACAAGAGTGCCGGGGATGATCGTTTTTAGAAACATCAAAATCTGCATCGTTTTGGTTTTATAATCGCTCCCTCTGCTCTTTTAGAAAGTGCTGCAGCATTGAGCTGCTCTGACGCGCCAAGCATGCCCCTCGGGTCTCGTTGCAGCTACTGTGAAGGGCCTCTGGGCATGGGGCTGTACTACTTCTGCTGCAACGAGTGCCAGTACTGCTATCACCGCGAACGCGGCACGGTGCCCAGAGGCCACACAAAAGAGGAGTTCCGCAGGCTGTGCCGCGAGAGGAGGGAAATGCTCGATGAGCACAAGCGCAAGGTCGCCACGAAGGGCATGAGGGGTCGCTGAGCGTGCGCCCTGTCAGCCGCTGGCGGCCGCACACTCCTGGGTTGGAGAGCATACACCATAAGGCAAGCGCGCCAGATTGAATGCAGGGTTTGGTTGGCTTGGGTTTGCGCGCTGTCAGTTTTCTGCGACGCGGAGAAGAGATGGGCGGCGAGGGCTGCACCCCAAGGTTACACGATGCTGCCATGGCGCAGTGCGCGGCGGGCAGCCGGCCCGTCACGTTGGTGTGGGTACAACACCACCGACCACCCAGCGCTGAACTGTCCCTCCCACAGTCACACGCGATGAACTCTGCTACTGCAATCGCCAAGGTGGAGGCGGAGTCGTGCAACCTTGCACGTTGCGTCAAGGGAGGCGGAGCTAGCTGCTCGGTTACTTGGGGTTGTTGTCCGAGGTTAGGTCTGTTGGTTGCAACCATCAATAATGCGCCATGATGGTCATAATTAGTAAGTGTGCAGTTGAAAGCTGCATTGCGATGAGTCAATGGCACATTGTAAAAATGTACATGCAGGCAGACGGAGGCATGGAGTTGAGATTGTGAAGACAGGCTTAATCGGTCCAGATGTTACCTTGGAGTTGTGGGGCGGCACCAATTCACACCAAACCCCATACCAGTTGCGGCTGTGCCAAATGATGCGTGCTCATTGAATCTGCAGCGATCACCAGCCAGCCTCGCAACAACATACCTGATTCATCTGTTGACCGGGATACACACACGGCGTATGCGCGAGAGAGCCAGCCCCAGCGGGGACCCTGCACGCGTTTGAGACAATCGGGCCGAAAGCATTCAGCCAAAAGCATTTGATTAGCCTACAACGCAATTTACCTTGTATCAGATGCTTTCACAGCCTGGGCGGCACACCCTACCGCGGCCACTGTCATGCGGCTGTCCTCGGTGGTGCCTCACAACGGGCACCGCCCTGTAGCAATGCGTGCCTCGTGCGCCAAATTGCTGTACGCGTGGTCGGCTTGGGCGGTGCAAAGTATGGTGGCTTGGATGCTGTGACCAGGTTCTCCTAGCCTGGGAATGCTCCCGCGCCGCTGGTCGCGTGCCGTCACCCGCCCTGTCACCTGGCGTGTCGCGTTTGGGCCAGCTGCCTCCTGCTCCTGACACTTCACAGTGGATCGGGCGTGAGCTGTGCACGGATTTATTATGTTTTCTGCACTCTGTAACATCGCGACGGCTTGGCTGATCAACAGCTGTTGTTGAACACGACTCAGATCCACGGAAGCCGTTCTTGGAACGAGCGACCCGGTCACGGCATGGCTATATTTGCTACCCTGATGTATCTAGTGCTAGCATGTACGATCATCCAGACCGCTTCTGCACAGCCGTGGGGCCTCGCGGCCCGCCTCGCTGCGGGCGTCGCGCCGATGCCCGTGCTGTCGCCGCGCCCCCGCGCGGCCGCGCGCGGCGCCGGCGGCGATAGCGCGCCGGCGGGCATGGGCATGATGATGGGCCAGGACACGGTTGGCGGCTCCGCCGGCGGCATGAGCATGGGCGGAGGCATGGGCATGGGGCCAATGATGGGACCCGGCCAGCAGATGGGCTACATGCAGGCCGCCATGGCGCTGCTGGCCAACCACCAGAAAGTCTCGCGCAGCTTCCATGCAATTGCTAACGGCGTTCAGTCCACCACCACCTCGTCGGACCCCGCCGTGGCTGCGCTAATCCAGGCGCACGTCGCGCAGATGCGCGCCGCGCTCGCGCGCTGCGCGGCGGCGCCGGGCGGCGGGTGCGGCGCGGGCGCGGCGCCGGTGCGGCCGCGCGACCCGCTGTTCGCGGCTGTTTTTGCCAATGCCAGAGACCTGTCGCTGCAGGTGCGTGGCGGCAGCAGCCACGCCTTGCACCACCCTTCGACGTCCGCATGCAGCCTGTTCCTCCTCTGCCTCCGCCTGATCGCCCATGACCCCCGCTCACAAACCGGTTCCTTCGTCACAAACCCACAAGTCCCTTCAACAAAATCAGTCACGCCCCAAAACCCCAACCTTAACACCCTCGACCACAGGCCACAAATACGACGACGCAAGCCGGCGCCCCCCTGGGCGTGGCCGCCGTGGAGACCGGGAAGACCCCGTTCGCCACCAAACTCGCCCTGGCCCACGCCGCCGTCGTGGACGACTTTGTGACGCGCGGCATGGCGGCCGCCATGGAGTCTCACACGGTCCCAAAGGCGTGACGAGGGGCAGAAGCGTGTTGCTTTTGCTGCGGAAAAGGGGACACGGATGGAAAGGACGACCAGCGCGCCCCCCGCTGGTAGCGTAAGCACATGGCAGGGGCGGCCGGTGCGCATGGCGGCGCTTGCTAGGCGGCGGCGAAGCAGCTCTTGGGTGCCTTGTTGCAGTCGCGACCCGCGCAAAGCCTGATACGCACGGGCGCCTTCGCAAACGCTACCGGACTGGATGGGTTGACGCCCCCCCACACACACCTCCTCACATCATGCATGCACCAACAAACCTCGAGCTCTTGATCATCTCATATGCACGTGAGGTGCTGCATCTGCAGCATCTGCACAGGCAACTGCATCTGGTGCATTACGCTGGCTCAATAAATTGTGCATTCACCCCACATTCTGTTGTCATGTCCCTGCCAGCCTTAGACACGCCATGAGGCCCCTTGATCCAGTGCACTGAGATGCTTGAGAGGTTTCTCGTGAGTGCATACCAATCCTGCACATTGCGGTTTGCCCCAAATTTTGCCCCTGCGTTGTCACCACAGCCCAAGTGGCTCAGGTATCCGGCGCCGCAACCCCTGTTCCCACGAGCATAACCTCCCAGCAACAAGCTGCATCGCTCGCCACAGAACGAGTGCGTGCGGATCGCCACTGCAATCACCACCGCCCCAAACTGTGATTTTGTTAGATAGCTTGTGATTGGCAGGTTGAGGCGCTCTCCAGGATTTATCAGGCAACGCCGTCGGGACAGCCGGGCCGGACAAGACTGTGTCTGGCCTGGCGGGTCTCTGTGTGAGCCGCATCCCGCCGATTCACGTCTGCTGCTTTTGACTGATCCGAGTTGGCCCGCCGCTGGTTGGACTTCATCATTTGAGTTGCGTTGCTGCGAGAGGCGAGATGGTGTAGAGAACGCGGGCGTGTGTTCTTGGACCGCAGCAGTCGTGCGCATGCGGCTTCCGTGCCTGCTGATGACCGACCCTGGTCATCCAGCAGGTCAGGCATGCATGGAGCCGTCTCTTGCAGTGGCCGATCCCTGCAACTGCTTTTTGCGAGCTGCCTCCTCTGACTGTGATTGAAATTTCTGCAAGCCTGTGCAGCGCCCATGTCTGATGTCGTCCCAATAGGTCTCGATGCTTTGGAGTCTGGGAAAAGGTGTGCGAATTGAAACGCGTAAAACAAGCCCACGCACCTCGTTTCCAGCCATGCAACAAGTTGCCGGCGACGACAGGTCGACACATGCCTTGTCTAATACGTCAGTGCCCTATGTACTGCATTGCCTCAGTACCAGACTGTTGAGATTCATCGCCGCCAAAAGGGGGTTTTAGCATGCAGCTGGGGAAGGTGCTGACGGTATGGTACGGTATGCTACCCGCTGCCTGGTGGGTGCAGCAGCGGATCAAGGCAAACATCACAGCTTTCGCGCATCCTAACTCGATCTTGTTTGATGTTATTTTGAAGCAAGCTTCTTGTCTATCCGCAGTAGCATTCATGGCTCTTCTCTCGCTGTGGTGATCGCGCGCGGGGGCCCAAAACATCGCGGCGCCAAAGATGTGGGGCGCGAAGCGTCCGATGGGATATGCTCCCATCATATTTGCTGCCATCATGATCGCTGGTGCTCGAGCATCGCAGGTGCAGTGGTGGAACCAGCGGTTTTGTTGGTATCGATGAAGTTTTTCCGCGGCGATTGCATAATAGACCGAGTCAGAACAACCAACCGTCTAAGTAGACCGCTGTTTTGCAGGATGCGGCGTCTTCTGCGAGCAGCACCACGGCGGAGGGCGGCTGCGACACCACCCGCGCGCCGGGCCCGCCTGCCAGTGTCAAGGCCCTGGTCCTAAATGACACTGCAGTGCAGGTGCGCGGCAGTGCCAAATTTTGTGCGATGTGGTGAATTCCACAATGGCACTCTCAGTTCCCAGTTGCTCCTATCAGCTTTGCTGCCTCATGGCCCACAGTGCCGCGCGCAGCAATTCCTCCATTGCGCGTCGACCGCACTCGGCTTGAGTTTGCAGAACCACATTGGCGTAATGACGTGCTGCAAAGGCAAAGCTGCCGACGAGCAGAATACCACGCCCGTGCATTCAACTCATCAACGTGTTTTTGACTAGCCACCAGGAGAGCGCGTTTTGCCCCCAACCCTGGCCCCACACACCCGCATAATACACAGGTCGTGTGGCTGCCCCCGAACGACACCGCCTGCGTCGACGCATTCACCGTCCGTGCGCGCGACGTCACCAGCGGCGCCCCTCTGCCCAAGCGCGACGTCAACACCAGCCTCTCCGCCGTGTACGCGGGCCTCACGCCGGGCGCCACGTACCGTTTCTTCGTCGCCGCCGCCGGCGCCGCCGCGGGCTCGGGGCGCGCCGCGATCGCGCGCGCCGTCACACCGCCGGGGCTGCTAGAGGCGAAGCCGGGGCCGCCGGAGCGGTTCAAAGCGGTTGCAGCGGACGCCGCGTCGGTGCGGCTCTCCTGGGACATCCCCGCCGGCAACCCACGGTGATGATCTTGACCATATGACTCCTTGCTGAAACGACCATTTCCCACCCCCACCCCCCAGCCCCCCGGCTTTGCAGCCATGCGTATTGCTGCCATCTGTCCAACTGACATCATCAAGCAAACCTAGATATTTTTTTTGGTACCACCATGACATCAACAGACGTCACCCCCCGCTTTCTGTCTCTCAAAATCCCACCCTCCAGGGTTGACACCTACAAAATCGCGGTGCGCCAGACCAACACAACAGGCTGGCCCCTGCCCAACGGCATCAAGCGCGACCTGGCAGTCCCAGGAACCCAGAGGAGCGCCTCCATAGCCGGCCTGGCTGGCGCGTCCTACTTTGCGTTCGTCATCAGGGTGGGCGCGGGGGGGGCCGATGGGGAGGGGTTGTGCAGCACCAGCAGTCTGGCTGGCCGCGGCACACATCAGCGCAGACTTCAATTTCCCGTGCCTAGGTGACCTCGCCCTGAAGAGCATTGGCCGACGCAGTGCAAACCATTGTTGTTAAGCCTTGATGCCTGCCAGCCTCCCTTCAGGCACCTTTCACCACTGCCCCATTGAAACCGCCCCCCAACTGCGCGCGCGCCCCCCGCCCGGCCCCAAACACAGTCGTCCTCGGCCGCCCACGGCGACAGCGACCCGAACTTCGCGTTCCGCAACACGCCGGCGCGCGGCCAGGCGCCGCCGGGCGCGCCGCTCGACCTGGCGGCCCAAAGTGTCGGCAACGGCAGCGTGGTGCTCAGCTGGGCGGCGCCGCAGGGGCAGAGGGTGGACCTGTTTGTCATCAACATCACCCAGGTGGGCATAATGATGCGCGTTTGAAGCATCCTTGTGAATCGGCATGGCTGCCGCCGGCCCGGCACGGTTTGACGACTGCAGCCTTGGTCAGATCAGATGCCGTCCTTGTCACAAGTGCTGCGCAGACACTTTTGGCCGTTCACGCGCCGGGGGGTGCGTTTCTTCACGTGCCCACCCCATGCGTACAAGCCGGCTTGCTCGCGGCGCCTGAATGCGCGCAGATCGACCCAAAGAGCGGCGCGCGGCTGTCGGAGACAAACACGGTGGGCACCGGGGAGTGCGTAAAGGCGGCGGCACGTGCCAGCACTGCTAACAACAATCCAGCAGCTTTTGGGGCACTCGCTCCCCATTTGATGCGAGGCCTGTATGCTGAGGGGCGTGGGCTGGCGCGGTGGAGGCGCAACTAGACCCCACAATGTTGCTGCCTTGTGATCAAGGGGCGCCACTCGCGCCCCACCACAGCCCCTTGCAGCACCCCTCCCTCGTCGCACCCCTGGCCACTCCGCCTGATGGCTCCCCTCGCACCCCATGGCTTGCGCAGATCCCGTTCCACAACACCACCGCCGTGATACGGGAGCTGCAGCCCGGCGCAACTTACAAATTCAAGGTCCAGTCCCTCGCGACCGCATACGAGAACGGCGGCGCCGCCTCCACGACCCTGACGCTGCCGGCCCCTCCCGCCAACCCTGGGGTGGCGCCGCAGCCGCAGCCGCGCGCCCCGCGGACGGTGGTGCAGCTCGCGGCAAAGCCGAGCGGCGCCGGCCGGGCAGAGGTGCGGATGGGGTGAAGGGAGGGCAGGGGCGCCTGGCAAGGCTGCACGCGTTGTGTGCAGCGCTGTTGTTCCAGCCAGGGGCACCTCAAGCGCAGATCTGGAGCTCGCAGGTGGCTTGACCTGATCTGCACGTGCTCGCGCTCCTGAGCAAGGTTCCCTTTTGCTGCCACCAATATGTGTGGTGCTGATTCACCCACGCTAGTGCTGGTACTCCGTCAAGCTCCTCTCCTAACAACAACATCACTCCAGGTGACGTGGCAGCCCCCGTCTGAGGGCCCGCGCCCCGATGAGTACCTGGTACAGGCGTCGGACCACGCAGGCCGCCCGCTGGGCACCAGCTTCATCACGGATTCCCCCCGCCTTGCGCTGACCGGGCTGCCCGCCGGCTCGCCGTGCGAGGTCTTGGTGCAGGTGCGGCAAGCGAAGCTTCATGCGCGATTTTGACAGCATTGCACGTTGGTGTGCTGAAGAATGGCTTGACACTGGTGATTAAAGGCGTGGGATGTGCGGGGAAATGTGTTTGAAGGGATGGCCCTCTGGCCCATGCGCCATGTGAAACCAACTCATGGGCCCCAAGCTTGCTGACAGTTGTCACGCCCGATTTCCTGCCCGACCCTGGTTGCACTAATTGTCACCTTCATCAACCGCAGGGCGTGGTGGGCGGGGAGGTGTACGGGCCGCCCCAGGTGGTTTACGTCATCGTGCCGGTCCCGGTGGCGCCGGTGACGACGGTGGCGGCGCCCTCGGTGGCGCGCCCTTTCGCGCGCACCTACCTGCTGGACTCGGATCCCGTGGCGTGGCCGCCGGCCATTCCTTTTGAGGATCCCTGGATTTTCTGGTGAGAATACGAACCTGGTCAGGAGGGGCTGAACTGAAAGCGCATCAGCAACGCGTTTTCGTCTCATCGCCTTCATGAAGGGGTGTCCTGCATTTCCAGACAAGATTGCTGTGATTGACCTGGGTTTGGCCGAGGACCAGAGCGCCAGCCGCCAAGGGCTGCAAAGGGCAGCTAGCGTGGAGCCGGTGCTAAGCAGCCAATCCATCAGGGCGCGAGCGGGTTGCGGTCCGTTTTGCGCTGTGCTTGTGCACACCACCTGCTTCAAAGCGCCCTGGCTCATGACTTGATCGAGGTTCGCATCATTCACTCCCCGCGCGAAAACAGCACCTTGTTGTCAGCAGTGCAGGGTTCGTGGCTTCAACACCGCCACGTCACAGCACCACCCACAAAACCACCGCTGGCCCCTGCGCGAAACCCCAACCTCTGACCGCGCGCAGGAACACCGGGTGGACTGTCAGCAGTTGGGCCGGCGGCTACAGCTCGGGTTGGGGCGGCGGCGGCCTCTGGTGGGGCGCCGCCCTGCCCGCCCTCGGACTGGGCATCTGGCTGCCGCCCCTGGTGGCCCCCTCCTTCAGCTTTGCCCTGCAGTCGCTCGCCGGCGGCGGCGGCGGGGTCAGGCACCCGCGCGCGCCCGCGCCGGAGTTCTGGTGGGCGGACGGCGGCGCGTACGCGTACAACCGATGGGCGGGCGCTGGGGGCGCGTGGGCGGCTGCGCAGCCCGCGTGGCGGGCGCCGCCGGCGCCGACGATCTACAGGCCGCCCCGACCGAGCGGCTACAGCGGCGGCGGCTACAGCGGCGGCGATTACAACAGCGGGTACAGTGGTGGCGGTTACAGCGGCGGTTACGGCGGCGGCTACGGCGGCGGCGGCGGCGCTGTCTACAGGCCGCCGCCCGCATGGAACGGCGGCTGGAACGGGGTGAGGGTCTGCTGCGCGCGTGCGTGATGGTATCTTTGGCACTCCATTACATGGGCTGACTTAGCTGTTTGCGGGCAGCAAATGCTGGTAGGATGGATGGAATCATTATGAAGATTGCCAACACACGAGAATTATGCTGCTACAGGCAGATGCCCAAATCAGCTCCCCCAACGTCTATGGTCCCTCCCTGATTGCCCCCCTCCTCCTCCCGCAGCGCCCCGGCCAGCGCCCCGCGCCCGTCTGCGGGCCCGCCGCCTACGCCCCGGCTTGGGGCCGCAGCCCCGGCTTTGGCGCCGGCATCGTCATCAGTATCAACATCAACAACATATTCATAAACCAACGCCCCCGCACACCGTACGGCTACACGGGCTTTCCTGGCCCCATCGGCCCCCGCACCGGCGGCCCCGGGCCCCTCCCCAACCCGGCGCCGCAGCCTCAGCCGCCTGCCCCTGGCGGCGGCAGCGGCGGCGGCGGCGGCCGGCAGGGCGGCTCGCCCACACCTGGGGCTGGGCAGCCCGGCGGCGGCGGCGGCGGCGGCGGGCCTCTTGTGTCGCCACCCCTGGGTGGCGGCAGCGCCGGCGGCAGCAGCAGCAAGCCTGGCGGGCCCCCAGCACCCGGCGTCGGCGGCAGTGGCGCCCCTGTACCTTCCGCTGCCCCTGCCAGCGGCGGCGGCGCGCCGAATGGCTCCCCCGCCCCGGGCGGCGGCGCACCGCCAAACGGCTCCCCCGCCCCCGGCGGCGGCACCAGCGCCCCCAGCGGCGTGCCCCTCTCTCAGGGCAGCCCCGCCCCCTCCCCAGCCACCAACTTCCCCACGCCACCAGCCGCGGTCGGCCCCGCGCCCGCCGCCTCACCAACCACAAACACCATCGCCGCACCCAGCACGCCAACCCCAGGCGCATCGCCGGCGCCAGACGCCGCCGGCCCCTCGGCCCCCGCGCCCGGCGCCTCCCCGGTGCTGCCAGAGGGCGCGACGTCCAGCTCCCCGGCGCCCGGCGGTGGCGTCCCAACTGTCACTGCGGCGCCAGGCATGAACCCAGATACTCTGGCTGCGCCTGCCGGTGCGGCTGCCGCTTCTCCATCCGCTGCTGATGCGAACCCTGCATCCTCCCCGGCGCCCGCCGGCGCCGACGGGGGAGCTCCGAAGGGCGATGCGGCCGGCGCGGCGGCAGCCTCTCCGGCGCCCGCTGGCCCCAGTGGCGCCACCGCGGCGCCCGACGCCTCTGCGGCCGCAGGACCCTCCCCCGCACCTGCTGGCGCCGATGGGGAGTCTCCAAAAGCCGACGCGTCTGGCGCGGCGGCGCTGTCTCCGACGCCCGTTGGCGCCGGCGGCGCCGCGGTCGCGCCCGACGCCTCTGGGGCCGCTGCGCCCTCCCCAGCCCCCTCGAACGCTCCAGCTGTCGCCGCCGGCGCCGCCGCCGCCGCGGCCTCTCCGGCGCCTGCTGACAGCGCGCCCGCCGCGGCCGCGGCCGCGGCAGGCGCTGCAGCGGCGCCGTCCCCTGACGTCGCGGGTTCGGCCGCTGGCGGCAACGAAGGCGCTGCTGAGGGCCCGAAAGGAGCAGCTCCGCTCGAAAACGCCGCCGCTACCGCTCCCTCCGAGTCCCCGACGCCCGAGGCAGCCGCCGCCGGCGCCGCGCCCGCGCCCGACGCGCAAACAGGCCTGCCGCCCGCGCCCGCCGGCGCCGGCGGCAGCGGCGAGGCGGCGTCCGACCCTGTGCAGACTTCAGATTCCAAGGGCGAACCCGGCGGCGCAGAAGGCAGCAATGGGGCCGCCGCGTCGCCTGCCCCTGAGGGCGCCGCTGCAGGGGCAGGCGCCCCGGCGGAGGGCAAGCCTGCAGAGAGCGGATCAGGGGACGCCGACGCGGACGCGCTCACGGCCGCTCTAGGTGGGGCACGCAGCGTGTTGGGTTTGTTTTTGGGGCGGAAGATTTCGACTGCCAATTGAGATTCAAACGGGCTGTGTGTGATGGGGTTCCTGATGTGTGCGGAGGGGGAAGCACGGCAGGCGCCTGATCTGTGTGCTCCTACTGCTGCACACAGTTTCGGTCCACGATCAAGCGCACTGAGTCCCACAGCCCGCGCCTGTTACACCAAGTGCACGACAGAATGAATGCGTTCCCATCAACTCCCCGAATGCACAGGCCGCAACGCCGGGGCCCCGGCTGATGGGCAAGCTGGATCCAACTGGGAGGGCGCCCAGCTGCCGTGGGCGGCGGCGCTGCAAGCGGACGCCGCCGGCGCAGGCGCGGGCCCGGGCCGCGTGGAGGGCGCGGACGGGAACAGTGTCAGCGGCGCCCCCTCAGGCGGCGCGCCGGCCGCCGACGCCGCCCCGCCGGCCGCCGGCGGCTCCGAGCAGGCCCCATCAACTCCCAGCGGCGGCGCCGAGGCGGCGGCGCCGGACGCGGCGGCGCCGGGCGAGTCCCAGCAGCAAGGGGGGACGCAGGGCGCCACCAACGCCCTGCTCAATGCGATGGGCGCGGATTCCCAGGCCAACCCCAGCGCGTCTGGGGACGCAACACATGCCGAGGGCCCCGCGGCCGCGGCAGGCGCACAACCTGCGAACCCCTCCACAGCCCCTGAGGCGCCTGCGCCGCCCGCCGCGGACACCGCGGCGGCCGACACGCCCGCCGCGCCAGGCGCCGCGGCGCCGGAGGCCGCCGCTCCCGCCGCGGACGGCGCTGCTGCTACCCCGCCCACGCCGGATGCCGCTGCTAGAGAGCAGGCGGCAGGCCCGGCCGCCGCCGCGCAAGACGCCGCCCCCTCAGTCAGCCAGCCGGGCGAGGCGCAGGCGGCGGCGCCGGCGACTCAGCAGGAGGCGGCGCCTGCGCCGGCCGCTGAGCCGGCGCATGCCGACCAGGCCAACGAGTCGCAGCCTGCGGCGGCGCCACAGGATGCGGCGTCGGCGCCCGCCGAGCAGCAGCAGCAGGACACATCGACGGAGGCGGCCCCAGAGCCGCAGCCGCAGGCGCCGGCCCAAACGCCCGCGGAGCCGCAGCCCGGGGCGACGCCGGAGGCGGCAGCGCCCGCGCCCGCCGCTCAGCAGCCGTCGGATTCGCCGCAAGAGGCGGCTCCCGAGCCGCAGCCGCAGGCGGCCGCGGAGCCGCAGCCAGGAGCAGCAGCAGACGCGACGCCAAGCACACAGCCCGAGGCGCCAGCCACACCTGAGGCCGGGCCCGAGCCGGCCTCTGGCTCAGCACCCGAGGGGCAGCCAGATCAAGCACCTCAGCAGCAGCCAGAGCAGCAGCCCCAGGTGCCGACTGCAGCAGACCCCGAGCCCGCCCTAGCGGCGCAGCCCGCGCCCGCCACACCAGCGCCGGCGCCTGAACAAGAGCCCGCCGCCCCAGCGCCCGAGCCAGAGCCAGCCGCCCCCGCGCCCGAGCCGGAGCCCGTCGCCCCCGCGCCCGAGCCCGAGCCAGTTGCCCCGGCGGCCGAGCCAGAGCCCGTCGCCCCACCGCCTGAGCCAGAGCCCGCCGCGCCAGCGCCGGAGCCCGAGCCCGTCGCACCACCGCCGGAGCCCGAGCCAGTCGCCCCGGCGCCGGAACCAGAGCCCGTCGCGCCAGCGCCCGAGCCAGAGCCCGTCGCCCCACCGCCCGAGCCGGAGCCCGTCGCCCCACCGCCCGAGCCAGAGCCCGTTGCCCCGGCGCCCGAGCCAGAGCCCGTCGCCCCAGCCCCAGAGCCCGAGCCCGTCGCACCCGCACCTGAGCCGGAGCCCGTCGCCCCACCGCCGGAGCCCGAGCCAGTCGCCCCCGCGCCCGAGCCAGAGCCCGTCGCGCCAGCGCCCGAGCCAGAGCCCGTCGCCCCACCGCCCGAGCCGGAGCCCGTCGCACCCGCGCCCGAGCCGGAGCCCGTCGCCCCACCGCCCGAGCCAGAGCCTGTCGCCCCACCGCCTGAGCCTGAGCCCGTCGCCCCAGCGCCTGAGCCCGCCCCAGCGCCCGAGCCCGCGCCCGAACCAGCCCCTGTGCAGGAGGCGCCGCCGGCCGAGGGCGGCGGCCGGCGGCTGCTGCGCCGCTCGTCCTCAGGCAAGTGCGCCGGTGGCAGGCGCGCCGGAGGCCGCTGGGGTAGTTGGGGCTCATGAGGGTGCCGGCTGGCAGGCTTGACTGGGTTTCATCTCTCGGATGGTCGCAAGTCATGCGGCGTGAGCGAGCAGGTTGGTTTTCATTCCTAGCAATCGTTCGGCAGCGTCTGCACCCGTATCTTTTGGTGCACACCAGCTCAGGCACAAACCAGCGGGCACTGCAGCAGCTGCGCAGTGGCACGCCGCACGGTTTCCTATGCCACGTTATTCCTCACATCATTTTCCGGGCGCTGCTGTGCGATTGTGTAACAAGGCGGCGCCTCTCAATGACGGCAGATTCATTGAACCCATGCGACATGGGAATGTAGATCTCAGTCAAACGGCGTTGACGCTTTGAGGCCTGATTTGATGAGTGCCCGCAGGCCGCTGTAACCATCCTGATCTCAATCCGAACCCCAGGCATTGGGTCAAACCGTTTTGCATTGGGTCAAACGATGCAAAGCAGCAGGTGCTGCCTGGCGCCAACCATCCGCATCCAAGCCGTTCCTAACGCCCCGTTGGCATGAATACATGGATCATTTAGGTGTGCCGGCAGGACCCCGTCACATCCACAGGACATCAGAAGCCTTTGGCTCTTATTGCAACGCTGAGCACTGACAAAACTGCATCGCTGCCCCGCCGCCGGCCCAAGCCCGGCTCCATTTGCAGCGCGCCGCCCCCCCCCCCGCTGCTATTTTCACCCGCTTCACGTGTGTCAGCGCCACCGAGGCGCGCCCCATGACTGATATCGACGGACTGCTTGTCCCATGACATCACAGCATGTCAGCTGTTTGCCGCACACGTCACCCTTGGCAGTGCACAAGGTCCAAAAGGGAACCGCCAAGCACCCGCAGGGCAGCAACACAGCGGTTACATGTATGCAAGCGGCCTGATTACACCAGCAGAGGTGAGGATCGCACAGAATATCCGCAAGATACTCTTCGACGTGCCCGCATTCCATGCAAAATGTGCGCTGGCACGGCAATAAATACAAACCCCTGCCGCCCCTTGACCCCCCCCCCAAACTGTCAGCGGCTGCGGGTGGACAGTGGGTGCAGGGAATTTTTTGAGCCCTGGCAAAAGTATGCATCCTGCCCTGGTTGCTCATACGCCGTGCGTGCGGCCACGAGGCCGCCAACGGCGGCCTGTTTCACACCGTCTGTTTCACACCACTTTGCTGGCCGCGTACCAAAGTCAGCCACGAAAACACGCAGACCCTCGTCTCAACCAGCCCGCGTCGGAGACCACCCCCTCCCTGAATACACACAGACAAATGATGCACGCACCCGCAAAAAATGCCCCCACAGGCCCCGCCCTCCCTGACCTCCCAGCCCCGTGCCGCTTCGCGGCTGGTTGCGTCACCGCGCCGTCGCCACCACGTCACCCGCCGCCGCCCCCTCCGAGCCGCCGCCGTTCTCCCCGGCGGCCCCAGCGCCCTTGCGCGCGTGTGTGTTGCGTATGGGTATCTCCCTTGACGTGTCGAGCCTCTTGGCCATTCCCAGGTCAAGGCGGGGCAGCCTGGGGG